TCTCTCTCTCTCTCTCTCTCTCTCTCTCTCTCTCTCTCTCTCTCTCTCTCTCTCTCTCTCTCTCTCTCTCTCTCTCTCTCTCTCTGTGCTTCTGTTCACACTTGATCTCGTCCAATGTTTCTCTTTCTCCGTCTGCCCCCCAATGTTTCTCTTGCTCCAGGTGGAGGGTGATGACGTTCCTGCTCAGCTACGTATGGAGAGACTTGGCGCTGTCATAGGAGGAAAGATCCTTGGATTGGGTGGCGGCCACTGCTTGAGGCTTGATGGGAAGGTCACATCATGAAGGGACCATGAGGACGAATTAGAGTGTGTGATGGGATGGACTGTTTATTTCAAAGACAAACGAAGAACAGAAAAAAAGGGACGTTGGCTATCATCAGGACCTTTTTCTTTTCCGTTTTTTCACCTTTTTGGTTTAATATAATTGACAATAATTTAATAATTGTAATTGCTTCATCTATTGGTGGAGAGCAACACCAGCTGGAAACAGGGGTCCAACGTCCCTTTTTTTCAGACCCTTGCTCCAGTGGTTAAACATTCGATGTATATGGACAGCGCATGCAAGTGGCAAATAACGGGATTGAGGCCATGGTCTTGGAGGATAAACTACAGAATGAAGTGGATTGAGGCCATGGTCTTGGAGGATAAAGTAAATGAATTTATTGTTATTATTATTATTATTATTATTATTATTATTATTATTATTATTATTATTATTATTATTACTATTTTAGTTTAGAAGAAGCGGCCTCTGCCGGCGTGATCCGGGCACTCCGGCCCTATTCACCCGGCGGTCGCCATTTCATTATAACAGCTGGAGGATAAACTAAATGATAAGGATGCCTAAGCAGCCGTTTTTCGATTGGTCTAGCCGGACGGTTTCAATCCATAAGGACAACGGTCAGGACCTACATCTCACAAATGCTATGTAGTGTAGCAAGGTCCATGTATGATATTGTACCCATTTGGTGAATTTCTTGACAAGTGTGTGTGTGTGTGTGTCATCCTTGCACAAGGGCCATGCTGAACCACCTTCTCTGTATGGTCATTGTAAATTTTTTATTTTTCACAGATGTCCTGAAGGACAAGTGGAAAATTGTCAAATTGCACCTTGGGACCAAAACCCAAATTTTGATGTTTGAAATTTTCAACAGGGCCTTTTTTCAAAAATGAAAAAGAAAAAGAAAAAAGTCTAGGCCCCGGGGCCTTTAAACCACCAGTACTTGGCCCATACATCGGCCGCAGGGCGTTGTTGTTAACGCCCCGCAACTTCCGGAGGTTCGGGGTACCAGTCCTCAAAGGCTGGTGCCGCCAGCCAAAACAAGTTTTTCTTGTTGCGCTGGCAGGTCGGCGCGCAGCCCGTTTTCAGGCTCCGCATCGATAGCTGGGCCAAGTACTGGTGGTTCACTGGCTACCTTCCAAGGCTCACAAGCCTCCGGCGTTTTTTTTTTTTTTTTTTTTTTCCCCAATGGTGGCCTTCCACTTTCACTACCAGCCCAGGCCCAAAGCCTTACGCTTCCCTTACCTTGTAAACAGGTAAGAGAAAGGCTTAGCTTCGATTGAACTGGTGTTTGAGCTGGCTACGGTTTGGGTTTTGTGGGTGGTTAATCCCGCACTGCACCTGATTTGGAGACATTTGGCTGCAGCAAAACTGAGGTGGTTGGCTTTTTTTTTTTTTTTTTTTTTT